AAAAAAAAAAAAAAAAAAAACTAAGATATAAAAGCCTGACCTAATCACAGGAGGCATAAAACATTCAGACAGTTTCTGCATGGCCTGCTCCTTCCATGGGCTTTCCTGCATCCTCAGAACGTACCCAGGTCACCCAGACCCTAAGCAGCAATGACAGCCCTCACTGCTCTGGGTCCTCCTCTGGTTGTCTTCTCCCCACCCCCACTCCACCCTTCCCAGCAAGAAGAAGGGGTGCTTTCCCAGTGGTCCACCTGCCAGCCAAGTGGGTCTGAAGGGGAGGCAGCAGGAACTGAGTCCCACAGAGAACACTCGGGGCTCACACATCCCCCATCTCAGAGCAGGGCTCCCTAAGAGCAGTTCACCCCGCGAAACAAAAATGACGACACTGGGGAGCGCTCAGTTCAATTTCAAGGCAACCAGGAAAACTCATCACAAATTAAGAGAGCTCCCTCCCTCCTTTAAATGCAAACTCAGCATGCGGAGGACTGCAGTCCAGCCTTCTGTTCCAACTGTCACAAGCTGTCTCTGAAGAACTGCAAGTGCCTTCCTCTTCCTTAAGTGGTCACCTCCTGGTGAGCTGCCCATCCCAGTTCAAGCAAAGAAAACACTCCTAGCATGAATGAGAGGAATTCAGAGAGAAAAGCCCTTGCTGCCTCCCGGTGAGAAAACTGACTGAGGGGCAAAGAGCCCAGGGATCTCCCTAGCCAGTCCCAGGGTTCACAATCCATGAAGAAGCATAAAAGGGTCTTGAACTTCATCCTAACGCTGGAAATCTAAACATTTTCTTTTTCATCTTCATAGCATCTATTGTTTTTCTTTAGAGTGCTCTAGCCTGCCTCCCTGATGACTCATTTTTGTCATATATTCTCTGAAGAAAGATCATAGACCAAAGTATTCTGAAGCATAACTGCCTGTTAAAAGTCAGGAAAAGAACTTTCCCAGCCTTACTGTCTTATTCTTAAATCAAGTTTTTTATTTGATTCTTCAATACATTCAAGCAGCTCCACTGAGGTATAATTGGCAAAGAATAAACTGCAAATATTTTAATTATACAATTTGATAAGTTTTAATAAATGTAAACACCCATGAACAATCTCTATAATCAAGATAACAAACATATTCATCATCCTTTAAAGTTTTCCTAGGCCCTTCTTACATCAATTTTAGAGCAAAATAACATTGTTTCTTACCCTAGACCTAACTATAACTAGCTGTGTGACCTTGAGCCTCTTTGCAAGTTTTCATCTTTTCACATGTTCAAGGAGGGAACTGTATGATGATCTTCCTAGTCCTCCAAGACAAAGCTTCTATGAATCTAGGCTTGATACCAACCTTCAAGGACAGGGCTCACCCATGAATACCCTCGTTGTTCTTTCCGTCCACAGAATTTATCCTCAAGCTATGGCCCCTATGACGATACGCTTGGCGTCATAATGTTTACTTTTGTTTCTAAGTAATTCTACACTGTTGCC